GTGTGTGTGCGCAGCGGGCGGCCACGCTTGTCTCCTCGTGGCTCTGCCTCCTGGCTGCGCCTGCTCGCTTGGTCGTCTTCTTTGGTCCCCTTGCTCTTCTTCGCCTCAGAATGAAGTTTGGTTTATGGAAGTTAAATTTTTCTCTAGCCTGCGTGGGGCTTATCCCCCTTTCCCCTCCCTCTAGGGGGTGAACGGGCAAAATCTTAGTGTCTGCTGGCCCGTGGTTAGATAAGCCGAAAGATTTGTGTGTCTGGGACTCCCTGACTTTGTGCTTGGTCTGTGGGGAAGCATTTAACACCCCTTCCCCCTCCAAAATGTCTGGGGAGCAATTAGAAATGAAAAAACACCATTTTACCTCTGGAGGTAGAGGATAGAGAAGAAGAGAGAAAGAATTATTTTCCAATCCTTTTTTAAGCAGAAAAACCTCTTCCAAGAGGAATAAGACGAGTTTCTCTTGGAGCTATTGTGCGCCTGAGCAAAGTTGTGCTACTGCACAAAACGAATGTTGCAAGCTTATGGAGTATTTTTTAAAAACGTGAGCTGAAATACTCACTAGAAGTTGTTTATTTTACATTAGCACTTGGAGGTCCCCAGAAAGGCAGTGTTAGATCCCTGCTGTGGTATGGTCTGCGCATGTGCGTAGCGTGGGGCAGAGTGACCTGAAAGCCTTGGAGTCTGGACTGCTGAGAAAGATGAGAGGAGTAGCATAGGGTGTTCCCTTGGCATGAAAACCAGGATCAAAGGAGCAGAAGTTAAAAAGACTTCCCTAAAGTCATAGTCTCTGGTTGATGATTTTATTTTTTTAATCCTGTGATATGTTTGAAAATCTTTTTTCTAATAGGGCACTGTTGCCTCATTAATATTGCTTTGAAAAGCTTTAATCTAAAGCTCAAGGCTAGAACTCTGTATGTTGCATGTCTGTTCATTTAAAGGGTATGTTGTGGCGTTTGGAAGAGTCCATAAAAAGTAATTCTCCTTTTTTCTTTCTTTCTTCAGTTATCTAGTCAGAGTGAAGTCATCACAAGAGTTATTCAGAGGCTATGTGAAAAAAGAAAGAAGAATATCCTTGCGTATGGATATTCCTTACTGGATGAAAACAGTTCTCACTTCCGAATCATGCCGTCTTCAAATATATGCAGCTACCTACCCAATACCGCAACAGAAACTCTTCGTATCAGTGGCCTATGGGAAACATTACTGAGCAGGATAGGGGATGATGTGATGATGTATTTATTAGAACACTGTGCAATCTTTATGCTGGTTCCCCCTAGTAGTTGCTATCAAGTTTGTGGGCAACCCATTTATGAACTTATTTCAAATAATGTAGAATCGTCTCCGGTGTTTGTTAAACAAAGATATTCAAAGCATAGACGTAATATCTTGTTTGACTATATGCAAAAGAGGCTTATGTTTCATAAAGAGTATCTTTCAAAATCTCACTGGTGGAAATGTAAACGAAGACTTGCAGTTCAAGTCTCCAGCAAGGGAAATCAAAAAAATAACAAAATACAAAGCTTAGGATCCAGTTTGGCATATTCGTCTAAAGATGATTTTAAAGCAAGCAAACAGATCAGAATGGTAACTGAACATCTGGAAAATCAGATTAGCCCAGGTTTATCTTCATCAGCTACAGCCCTGTCCTTGAAAAGGAAGCTTGATAGGGAACAACTTAAAATTACAGCTAAGAGAGCAAAAGTAGAGGAGGAAACACCAGAGAAAGAGGCTTGGAATCACAGTCCTGGCATAAACCAAAGTAGTTCCACGAGGTATGGAACTGAGTACATAGCATCACATTCTGTAAATCTTACTGAAGAAAAGTACGCTGCTAGAGGAAGTGACAGTGATATGCCTGGCCCTTCTTTACTTCGCAAATCTTATGATGGGAAGGAGAAAGCTGTCGCAGATGAGAGTGCGTTTCTGCAAGGAGTTCAAAGTAACAGACCTGTTAAGTCCAACATGGAAATGCAAGCAGAATCAAATAGAAAGGGCATAGAGATGCATATGTATAAATCTCAGGTGGATTCTGTACAAATGAAACCAAGGGAAGGTATTTCTTCAAAATACAGAAGGCTGGAAAGTCCCGTAGATCTTTTGGGAAAGAAATTGCCAAATACAATCTTGCGTTCTGGAGTATACATTGAGAGGAAGTCTCTTCTGTACTCTCGCTGGAGTTTCAAAGAATGTTTTCCTAAATCGTTTTTATTGAATCGCTTGAAGGGTTGTCAGGCAGGTGGAAAACGGCTTGTAGAAACTATATTCTTAAGCCAAAATCTGTTGGAGCAGAAACGCAATCAAAATCTGTCACATCACAGCTGGAGAAAGAAAAGGTTGCCCAAACGCTACTGGCAGATGAGAAATATATTTCAGAAACTGGTAAAGAACCATGGAAAGTGCCCTTATTCGTTTCTCCTGAAAAAAAATTGCCCTGTTTGGATTTCCGAAACCAATGCAGGAAAAGCTGAGTCACTGCCTTGTCAGTCAGCCTTACCTGGGGGAGCAGCGGTTCACAAGCAAGTAGAGCAGTTTGGGAAAGAATCTACTAAGCACGTGACAAGCAGCAGCCAGAAAGGTGGTCACACTGCTATGCCAAACGACTTGCATGCTCCTCTTTCAAAATCTCTGTGTGGGGAGTCAAAGAGCGAGGAGCAAAGTCCTGGAGAGGTGTGTGATTCGGCCATCAGGGAGCTCCTTGGGGAGCACAGACTGGCGGGTGTACGTCTTTGTGCGACAGTGCCTGGAGCGGGTGATCCCTGCAGAGCTGTGGGGTTCAAACCATAACAAATGCCGCTTCTTAAAAAACGTGAAAGCCTTCATTTCCATGGGGAAGTTTGCTAAGCTTTCATTGCGGGAGTTGATGTGGAAGATGAGAGTGAATGACTGCATGTGGCTTCGTCTAGTTAAAGGTACTCCGTATATTAAAATGAGGAACTAAGTAGTAGAGTCAGATGACTGGTATCCAGGTTTATGCTGGGGAGGAGGTGGAGTTGAATCTGGGATTCAGAGTTGCAGGATTCATTGGTACTAGCCATAGCTTAGAGAGCAAGCCTGGGGGTGCTTCTCTTAACTGATATGGAAGATCACCCTTAACTCAGTCCTCCTATATGCTTGAAGCTTAAGTTTTCCTCATTTTTCATAAACAGTTTTGTGTTTAATGGGATGAATTTTTCATAAACATAAATTCAAACCTGGGGCTTTAAACAAAACTCCTTCCTCTTTCTTTCCAACCCCCCAAATAGTAAGTAACTACAAAATTGCATTCAGGTGCCACCTAAGCAGGTAAGGAACAAATGCAGTCTGCCTTAAGTGGCAGTCGTTACTTTAACCCTTCAGGAAGAATGAAAGGCAAAGTGAGAGACCAGTTTCTGCTATGAGAGTAAACCTCATGGTTTCCCTGCCCCCTCTGCCTGGAAAGAGACTTGTGGGCTATGTAAGGTAAGAAGTAGAGAGGGTTGCCCACCATCCCTTGCATTTTTAGAGCCCTTCCTTGAGAATGGGAGGCCCTTGCTAATGGGGTCTACCTCAGGCCAGATAGTTGTTGATGCAGGCTGGCCTGGAGTGTTCAGGGGTTGAAAGCTGTCTTTAGGGGCGGTGGGAACATCAGCTGATTGCTCCAAGATCCTCGTGACTCCCTTCTGTTTAATGATCATTTCAGTAAATCTTAATTTGAGGTTGAAGTTGTTCTGTGCTTGATTGTTGTGGGATCTAATGCAAACAGTAATATTTCTGTGCTTCCATTCTCCATCTCTAAAACTTAAATTATATTTCTTTATCTGGTATGTTTGCAGTATTTATTCTCACCTGGTAGTGTACTTGGATCCTACAGAAATGAGAGCTGAAACTTACATTCCTTTTTAAAAGGTGTAATAGGGTTCTAAAGTTACTGTGTGTTCTCTATAATGTAGGAGAAAAATGAAAAGCCCAAAATCTGAGAACTGATGTCAAAAATGGGGGAGATACACCTCTGTAAGAAACTGTTAATTCTAGCAAAGATATTGCCTCTTTATTCAGAAACTTTGGCTAAACGTATGCTTTTCAAAACACTGAATATTGAAATACTTTTAAATATTTTTCTTGTAAAAATGTATTTGGTTCCCAGTAATATGAAACAAGTATCATCTTACTCTCTGGAACTGATTCCAAAAAATCAAGACATGGGTTTAATTTTAATTTTCATGAAACCACTCTTATGCTTGAATTCTGAAACACATTTAATTGCTTTAATGTATTGGAGGAAAAAAAAAAAAAAAAACAAACCCTGCAAGAGTAGCAGTCGTTTTGTGTCCATCTCCTGAACTCTAGTTGGGATTCAGTCCATTACCATGATGTTAACGTATGTTGTTGAGAACATAGAAAAATAATGACGATGTTCAAGAACAGCTGCCTAATACGGTGTTTTGTGTATATTACTGCCAGTTTATTATGACTTGCAGTTTATTCTGCAAGTCTATTCACTTGCAGAATCTTCTGATAGTCATTGGATTTTGCATTGGTGGTACCTGGTTTCCACTGAAATGAAAACGATTTCCTTATGGTAGTTACTTCCAAGAACAACCCTGCCCCTTGAGGCCCACACACCTTTTTTTTTTTTAAAGTGTTGTGCATACATGAAAGTGTCTGCCTTGAAGAGCACAAAAACCAAACAGCAGAGACCTGGGAACTTATTTCAATTTTTTTTTTTAAGTTTCGGTCTTAAGCCTGAATTATCTCATGTCAAAATTGAGCTGTTGGACATGTTTGTGTAATAAATAAGCTGTATTGCGCAAATTATCATTTCTGTAGAATTTCTTAAATTATCTTACTACACTTTCCTGAATTCTACTTTCAAATTTAATTAGGAGAGTATGTTTTAAAGGTTTCGAATGTTCAGTACTATAGGACAGGGTTTGTTGTCCCTTTGCTTGTTTGCCATTTTAGACATGGCCAAAAATATATGTAGGCTTAAATTTGATCGTAGCTAGAAAAGCTTAGGGTACATACTTACTGTGCAATCTAAATATTATAAGGGCTGATTGACTTAAACAGAGTGATTTTTTTTTTTTGACTGCAGCAATTAAGTTTTAAGTAGGATATTTGAAATAAGCTGAGTCTAACCTTGAAACTAATTTTTTATGTAAATCAGGAATTCTGAATATTATTCTCTTCCTCAAGTCAGTTCAATTATCTCTTATTATTTTTGCAGTATACCTAAGAATTTTCATTGTTTGGCTTATGAAAATAAAGTTTTAAGAGTCTATTAGAGCATAACTCCCAGTGTTCTATGTGGAACGTTTTACTTTTTCCTTCACAATAATCCTGCCATAGCGTGTTAAAGATCTTGCAGTCAACATGGGAGAAGAAAGTAAGTCTGTGGGCCACTGATTGCTTGCATGTATTGGTATCCTGTGTACCAGTTCGTCATTACAACTTTGTTTCCATCTATGTACTTTAAGCTTTGATAAAATTATTTAATGCCAGTGAAAATTTGGGGTTGCATCTGTGCAATTGTTTGTGTTTTCTTTCTTTCTCTGTATTAACCTTGAGCTAAGAAAAGAGTGTATGTGTGCTTTCTTGTTTGTTCTGTTTTTTTTCAACACAAAGAGTTGATACCTACTATAACAGCGTTTGAATTGTTTATTGAAGGTGATCACTTTGTTCCTGCCTATGAACACTGTTTCCGTGAAGAACTTTTGGCTAAATTCCTATACTGGCTGATGGATACCTATGTTGTTGAGTTGCTCAGATCATTTTTCTATATCACCGAGACCATGTTCCAGAAAAACATGCTTTTCTACTACCGAAAGCTTATTTGGGGCAAGTTACAGAACATTGGAATTAGGTAACAATAGAAAGCTAATCAAACACTAATGAAAATACGGAAATCTCATGTCTTGTGTAAAATTTATAATTCTGCTTTTGTTTATTGCCCATTCACCCTCTTTTTTTCAATCACTTAATTTTCCAAAAGAAAAATCAACCTGTGATTTTTTTACTGTGCTAGACTTGTAAATTCAGAACTGTTTTATGTGGAAAAAACTGATTCAGATTTTATTTCTCTGGTTATCAACCTTTGAGATAATAGCCATTATGAGGAAAGTTTTGTTTTAATGAGTCAAGCTTGCACCTTTTAACAATGAATGAAACATAGTGGCAGAATCTCAAAGTAACCTTGGGAAAGCTAATTTTAAAACTACTAAGCTCATTTTAGGAGTTTTAATTCCAAAAAAAAATATTGAACTTCTTATGAGTTCAGGCAGTAGGCTTGTGCAGCTTTTAATTGTTTTGTTGTTTTTTAATTAGATTAAGGAATTTAAAAGCTGCAGCATAATTTTTTCAGTGCAGTTGTGAAACTCCATGCTGCTTATTTGTTTTTAAAAATGCATGTATGAATTTAAGTTAGGGCATTATTTCAGATAAAATTTTAAGTGATTAAGTGAGAAAATAAGAAAAATCTGAAGGGATTTTTAATGAACAATTTTGTGTCCCATCCGCTTAGTTCATGTCTGTCTTGTTATCAGTATAAATTGTTGGTGTCCAGGAAATTTTTTGAACTGTACTAAACAATCAGATTTGATGTTTTGTGTTTTAATTACCATTTTTATATAGTGAAATTCTTGCATTTACAGTGGTCTGTTGGTGTACAGTGTTGTTGTATGCGTGGGTTTTTGTTGTTTTTTTTTTTTCCTCCACTGCCCTGAGCTTAACATTGGTAACTTCTTCAATGCAGCTGTTGTGCATATATGTTTGTACTTAACAGGGCCGTAGTCCTGTTTGCAGTTATAGTTGGGAGTATGCAGTAAAAAGGGTAGTGGTAGAATATAACTTTCGGTTTGGCATATTCTCTGTCTTGTGTTCAAACTAACAGCCTTAGTGTTGTAATTAGCATTTTATGTAGTGTTAATGTACTTCAAAACCTAACATACTCTTCTTTATTTTGCCTAAAGTATCATCAAGTACTAAATTTTGCATATTAGAGATGATGCTGTTTTTAATGGGGTATATGCTTAAAAGAAAATAAGTATTTTTGTTCTCAGCCCTTTCTTCCTCTTATTCCCAGTTTTTCCCCCCAAAAAATGTAAGAACAGGGTGGTCTGAACCTGAAAGACCCTAATCTGGGCTGCTCCCATGTTTTCCCGTTCCCTCCCCACTTATTTTCCCACTGTACAGGAAGTCCCTTCTCACCTTTGGCTCAGGAAGTCCCTGAACTGCAGATGACTGGAAGCTGGGGGAGCATCTCAAGGAAGTACTGCTGAGTGCTTTCCAAGGGCAGCACTATAAGGACAGGGCATTAGTTGTTGGCTACAGGATACATGGCTATATGGTCCTTTAGTCTGACCCCAGTAGCTGCTCTTAAGCTTCATTCATAGGAGGGTTGGAGCTTTCAGCACTTTGCTTTTTACTGTGTGCTGTGTAGCCTGAGGTCTCCTCCTAATTCTACTCACTACACTCATACAGGTGGCAAGCTGCCTTTTCCACATAGTAGGTGAGAAAGTGGGATTAGAGGTGGTGGGAAACAGCTCTTTAGGGCTGCCTGCACTGCCTTGGCCACTTCTGGACTCGCCAGGCACACATCCCCTTTTCTCCAGGCGGTGTTTTCAGGTGTTGGTGAATCAGTGCCCAGGCAGCTGAGCTACTTCCACCTTCCCTGTAGGAAGGTGTTGCCCTAATGGCTGTTGTATGTGCGTCTTCACAGACTGCCTTGGTTTTCTTCCCTCCCTTCTCAGCTGGAGCTGCTCATAGTGATTGCTCTGAGCTGGTTCACAGGGAAGGCGTTTACAGCCAAGTGTAGCCACTGATGCCTTTCCAGTTCTTTTGTATCTGCCGCTGGGGGTGAGAGGATAGATGAAAGGACTAGGCTGAATGGATCTGGACTTTATTCCTGCCTTTGCACTACACTTTCCTTAGAAGTACGTCCCTATCCTAAAGGGCCATCCATATGGTCTTCCTGTGCAGAATCCTACTCACGGACCACAATTCAGAGAGGAGACTCAAATCTGTAGATTTGTCATGCTGTACGTGCAAGTGTGCATTAGTCATTTTGCACACAGACAACACTTTCTGACTATTAATTTTTGTAGCTATATCAAACTTTATACCCCAAATTAAAAACAGTACTTATTCTCTATTAAGAAAAATTCTGTGTTTCATGATACAGTTGCTCCAAGTTACCTGGCCCGTGGAACGCAAAATTATTTTTTAAAAGTAGCGTACCCAACTTCATGGTAACAGCACCTATTTTTTTACAAGGACCAAACCCTCCCTGCCCTTGCCACACACAGTGGCTGTCTAGGATTGAAAATGCTGCAGAAGTTATGAATCTCCTACATTGTAGGGTGGCAGCATGTCAAAAGACAGCCCAACCATGTGCTCAAAAATCCTCCGCATTCCGGTATGCGGCAGGGCTGTGAGTGTACAAACAGGAGTGGGATGATTCAGCAGCCACTAGATCAGTGAGCATTCAAAGTCATTAGCCCTGCTATAATGACATGAAATATGCAATGATTGTTGCTGCAGGCAAAATGGCATCAAATTCCACAACAGGAAGGTCTACTGATAGTCAGCCTCTGTATTCACTTTTAGAGGAAGTCATAGTCTTCCTCCCCACCCTTCTTCTCTCATGTCTTAAATAGAAACTCCAAAGGGATGGACACTTGATCATTTGGTTGTTTCTGTTGAACTGGCGTGATTTGTTTAGTCTTAGGGATCCAGCTAATACTGTAGTGCATGCAAAAGTTTTGCAGGTACTAGAAAGAAACTGAGTCAAATAACTGATCTCTAGCTACGAAAGTCATCTCCTTCTGTCCCTTCTGCTGTGCTTTGGGCTACATCTGAAAAGGGAATTTAGTGCCTAAGTTTGAATATAAATCCTCAGAAGGTTTGCTCAGTAATAGCTCAGCTTGCAGACCGTGAATGCCTAGATGCCTTCCGGTTGGCATGCCCTGTATCACTCAGGCCTTGACAGTCCTAGGATGCTGAATCTTTAGCTCATACCTGAGTTTACGAGCTAAGGTAAATAAGTATTTATGTGCCTATTTTGTCTGCAAGTTTGGCCTCTTAGGTGTCTCCTAGAATGCGCTTATCAAATTTGCACCGTCCATCCTTTTTCTTCTGTGATAGTGGGGCTTCCTTTTGCTAAACCAACCTGTTGGTTTGTGAGGGATGTGAAAAAATCTGAATACATTTGCATTCAGATCCCTTCTTCTGAGGAGATTTGATTCATCTTATTTCACTTCTCAGAGGAGTATCCCAACAACTAGGCTGTAGAGCTTTCTGAAATGATAGCTTCTGTCCTCCTAAACAGTACAGGCCGTTCAGAAGATTGGTCTAGGTCTGTCATGTAGGTATGGTAGGGTGCTCTAAGAATAAGATACTAAGTAAAAGCAAAGCCTTTTTGCGCCACCTCCTTTCCACACTTGATTGAATTAATCTAGACTGGGCCACACTGAACAGTAGACCCTGAGGGGGAGTGTCTGTGAAGTCGAAACATATCTTCTGCTAAGATAGGTATAGGGAACTTGGAATCAATGCCTTAGCAGTCATCCATCTCTTCATCCTTTAGCTGACTGCTGCTCATCAGGCTGGTTCTTTTGAATCCTGTTACTGGATACTTGAATACCTTCCTCATGTCATATAGGTACCCTAGTATCCCGATTCACTATGATTTCTAATAGGTAGTGGAGCCCCTAAATGTTTGGATGGAGGGGCAACAACCCATTAGTGTATAAATCTTTCTCTGGATCTTTCCTAAAGTAGTTTTCACAAAGTCCTGTCCAACTAAGTACATACCTTGTAAGCTTCTGAAACCATGAAAAATGTCTAGGTTCCCATTGTTTTGAATTAAAGTATTTCATAGTTCTCAAATGTACTTAGCTAATCTGTAGTTTCATTTTCATTTGTGTTAGCGGAGATGTTTTTATTATCTTAATTTACACAGCATGAAGCAGAAATATATACTACTTTATTGCATTACATTGTCATTAAGATACTGTGAGTTTTTTCTGAAATTCAAACTTCCATTTGGTACCTTGGATTGAATATTGATATTATGTTAGTTTCTGCAGTAGTATTTGTAATTATCTTAGTAAAACATTTGGCTCCAGTTATCATAAAGAAATGAAATATTTGTAATTTACTGCATTTTCTACTGTTTACTCTCAATATGTATTTATATTTTAGAAACCATTTTGCCAAAGTACATCTACGTGCTTTATCTTCAGAGGAGCTTGAAGCTATCCATCAAAAAAAAAATGTTCCTATGGCATCAAAGCTCCGGTTCATTCCCAAACCAAATGGGTTAAGACCCATAGTAAAAGTGAGCGGTGTTGTTGAAGCAACAGCATTCAGCAAGGAGAGCAGAGAAAAGAAGGTTTTTATTTTCTTTATTGTTTTATGGATTTGATGTGGGCAGCTAATACGAGGGTGAGTGGGATTCTTTTTTTTTAATGTTATGCAGAACTGGTTAAAGTGTTGAACTGGAACTTTCAAATCAGAGTGAATGGGCCATTGTAACTTAGCTTAGTTTTTTTTTTTTTTCCTCCTTTCCCATGCTTAATTATCATTAACCTCCAATAACAGAATCACATAGTTCTGTTTGCAAGCTTGTCTTAAGAAAATGAGTTTACCATGATGGCACAGTCTGTCAGGTAATCATGTTTTCTTCCTCTCTGCTTGCAGTCTCCTTGCCTTTGCCTTGCTAACGTTGTCTGAGTGTGATTGATTTTGGCCATCCGTAGGGATAGAAAGATGGAAATCTCAAAGGCATTACATACTCAGTATTCAGTACTAATGTGCCATATTGGTTTCTCACACCAGAGGGTGAGGGACAAATGAGTCTAGCCCATTGGGATTTATGAGTACTGGTTGTGTGTGTTGCTTAGCTAGTTATTGTGCCAAGTCAACCCAACCCCGTTAGCAGGCCAAACATCAGTGAGTTGTTTGTTTACAGGAGCAGGTCTAGGAAGGACAAGGAAGCTGGATCAAATACAGTAGAGAGACAGGAAGGAAGCTGGGAATTACTGCAGCGTGGGAACAGACAGAACCATGTGGTGCACAGAATGATCTATTTAAAAGGCCAGTTAACCACACGACATAGTGGGAGCCACATTCCAGTATTTCTCATGACTGAATTGCTTTTCCTTAAGACTGCATCCTATTCAGTAGACAAAATTAAGTGTTCCCCAGATGGGTGATAGTTCAATGGCTTCTTAATACTCATAGTTCAGTGTGATCCCAGACCATATTTACAGGACATCATCCAAAAGCTGCTCTGAAGTGTTGCTTTCTTCATAGTCTTTCTGTAGCAATCATACTGTTCAATTTGAAAGTATGCACACAGTCATTTTGGAAATAGCTGCAGTGCTTTAAAGGTATTTTTGCTCCTGTAATAGATCTGGCATAAAGCCTGAATGCACTGAAGAAGATGGAGGTTCAAAGTCAGCAGTGTTTAATTTCAGCTAACCTGCTGCACATGAGCTGAGAGGGAATATCTGTGCCTGCTTAGAGATGAGAGCAGTAGGCTCCTGTTGGAGAGTGCTGAGAAGCAACTGAGGACAGTAAGTCTTCAGTTCTTATGAAAAGACCTCATCTGTTTAAACTAGGAGAACGATCACAAAAACATAGCTACCAATTCTAATAAGTTCTGTGAAAGACAAGGCAGTAATGTTACATTTCTTCTTAGATAGGAGACTGAGACAGAGAAAAGTGTCATGCAAAGCAATCGCTTTGTTCATTATGGAAGTGTTGCTACTCAGCTTGTTTCTGCCATGGCTTTTTATCATCCAGCCTGTTCCAGTCTTTCATCCTGTGCCATATCTAGCTTGTCTCTGCTCTCCAGTTTCCTCCTAGCATTTTAATTGTAGGAGGAAAACCATCTTCCTGTTCTTTCTGTGGCTGACAGCATTCCAGGTTTTGGAATTTGGAAGCCAATCTGGAATTTCGAGGGTAGACGTGGCCGCCTTCTGTAGCTCTACGGTGGAACGTATCCAGATGAACAGCCAGAGATAAATCTCCCAAAATACAGCTAGCTGACTGATGACTCATGGGCAACTCGAACTTTACTCCAAAAAAGTGATGAAATGATTCCAGTTCTGTGTATTTACCTTCAAATCAGTGTAGATCTTGTGTTTTAAAGACCTGTGTGTTTTGCTTGGCATCTTTCTCTCATTTCTTTCAATCTTATTTCCCCCTGCCCCTCCCCCTTTTTCCTAATAGGAAGTTCAAAGCACTGTGAGAGAGGGGTTTCTTAATCTGATTTGTTTATACATTTATAGATTTTTTTTTTCCTACTACATTCTGCAGAGATTCCAGCAGATCCTTAAATTTTGCAAAAATGTTTTTAGCTCTGGGGTTTAGATCTGTTCTGAGGAACTAGTAAGAGGCTGGAGGAAATTCCTTCCACCATTGAAACAAGGAGCTATTGTGAATACTGTATGTCCAGGTCTCTCTCTTTTGGCTTAGTTCAAAGCAGTCTTCGAGCTCTGAAGCCTTAATTGCCACGCTCTTATTGTGGCAACCTGCTAACCTCCTTATGGCTATCAGCTTTTGTGAAAAGAAATCATTTGATATGAAAGGAACCATCCTGGGATATTTAAGAAAGAAGAAAATCTCCTGGTGACAATTACTTTGACCTTGCTGCTTCTATTTATCTTCGTGAGCTACGTCTTTACCTTTTGAACTGTGTTTCTTAGGAACTCGGCCTATACCAGCAAGGACGTCACAGGAGTAGTGCCTTAATTGTCATAAATCTTTGTTTTTTAAATGGATCGAGAACATTTTGCAATAGCAACCAGTAGATTAACAAAACTGCTTATTTTGTGTAAAACTGTAAAGTTGGATCATGTTGTTTTACAGGCAGTGATACTCTGAAGTTTTTGATGTACTTGAATTTTACCAGCTTTTCACTGAAACCTGTAACTGATTTTTTTTTTCAGTGCAAAAATAAATGTCCTCAGATGAGCTAGAATGCTTCCAAAGTTAGCAACTGCAGTTCATCCATATCATGATCACAATATTGCCATTGAGAGTAAGAAATCTCTTATGCTCCATATATACATTTTTGGAGGACTTCTTCAAAATTCTAAACTGGCTGATGAGGATCTCGAGTATGCAGTTTGCTTTTCTTTAGTAGTATAGTTTGTCTTTTCATCATTCTTTTATAGCCACGTTTGGCAGTTTTCCTTAAGGTGTTGACAGAGCAACATCCAGCTAATCAAGCTGCAAGACTTCACTTCTGCTATACTTTACTATCCCCGTAGCTGAGAGAGCTGAAACTTTGCTAAAGTATCTGCATGTGATCAAGACACTCAACTGATGACACATGAGGTTTTAGCCTAAGAAAAGCTACCTTGTAATTGGTGCCGGTTTTATTTGCTGAAGTGCATCTATTAATGTCCTTTAATTGTCACTCCTTGATTTCAGAGTTGAACGCAGGAGAAAAGAAAAATTTTTTTCTCTAGGATTTAAACATACCAAAAAAATCTCTGAGGCTTTTTTGTCGCTTCTGTGTAGTCAGTGGAGCTATACTCGGGCTTTCTGAAAACTGTAGTTGACCAAAAAATATTGTAAATATACAAACTACCTCTCAGGTTTCATTCAAATGTAAAATCTGTGTATTGTGCAGAATTTAATATTTTTCAACGTACTTCAGGTGGTTCTTTGGTCTCTTTAGGTTCATCACTACAACACTCAACTAAAAAATCTATTTAGTGTGTTAAATTACGAACGGACTATAAACACCAGTTTCCTGGGCTCTTCAGTGTTTGGGAAAGATGATATCTTCAAGATATGGAAGAAGTTTGTTACAAAGGTTCTTGAATCAGGTGGAGAAATCCCTCATTTCTATTATGTCAAGGTATGTGCTTTTTCTTTTTCTTTTTTTTTTTTTTTCCTCCTCCTCCTCGTGTTCAAACTAATTCTTCAAATCAGCTTGTGAGGATATTTTTATAGCTGTGAGCTAAATGCATTTTTTTCAAAATCAGCTTTTGTGCATACATAATAAAAAAAGACAGGATTTTATTATTTCTGCAGTTGTACTTCTCTTCATTATATTTCTCTCCCTTGTTCTCTCATGTGGTAAATATTGCTACTGATCATACACTGAATTTTTGCAATTAACATTTACTTTGGTATAAAGATGGGACAAAAATGTGAATTGGGGCGGGAGGAGCAATTTTCCCAAAGAAAAAGCAGGAAAAACTTGATGTGAATTTGGAAAAATACATCATCTTTTGAGAAATAGATGGCTTCTATCTCCATACTGTGATTTTTCTGTTGAAAATAGAACACCTGAACTCTGTATCTCTCCAACAAGTTTCTTTTCCTGCTTGGAAAACTTGGGTGCCTGTTATAACCCACAGTTAAAGCAGTTTTCTCTTGAAACTTATTTTTCAGTTATGTCTAGTAGGCAACCTTTTGTGTTTCAGCCCAGCTCATAGGTCTGAGCTGGGAAGATGTATACAGTATTATAGTGTTGTGGGTCTCCCTTCCCATGCTGTGCCTATCAGTTGACACCCTGTCCTGAAGTTGCTTTCAGTGATTGTTTCTCTTTCAAGCCAAAGAGTCATTGATGTAGTTCTTAAAAAGCTGTTGCTGCTTCAGATGGCTTTGAATTATAATCAGGAAGAGTAAAAACAAAGTTAAGATTATAATGTGAGGATTAGGAAAAATAAAATATCTGGAATTTTTGCAGCTTTGGAAAACCTTGGATTTAGTCCCCATGATCCTATGGAGGGGAAGTTCTTCTTCGCTTTTTTTTTTTTTAAAGGGATTATCAAACATACAAAAACAATAGCAATAAACTTTAGTTAAATTATTGAAAGTTAAATATTAGACTTTAAGGTTGCTTGTGCAGCTTTCAATGTACATTGCAAGTTCACTAGTATTCATTAGTATTTAATCATGAAAATAAGTGCTTATATAGTACAGGTGACAGTAGGGATCACTGTACCCTCAATAATAAAAATTAGGCTAAAACTGATAGTTTGGAGATCTCTACTTGCAAGGGAAAACTGCTCATAGAGTGAGGAAATAGTTTTCTTTTGTGCCCATAAGCAATGAGTCTTTCTATTTTGTTAGTAAGTTGGACCGGATGATGCAGTAATTTATCCTTCATCTTTGTTTTCATACTACAAGGGTATTTACAGTAATATTGATAAATACATAATGGATATTTCTTCTGTTTCAGGCTGATGTGTCCAGGGCTTATGATACCATTCCTCACAATAAACTTGTGGAAGTGATTTCACAAATCTTAAAACCTGAGAAAAGAACTATCTACTGCATACGACGCTATGCAGTGATTAAGATCACTGCATGTGGAAAAGCCAGGAAGTTCTATAAGAGACATGTATGATTTGCTGATTTCTTCTACTTCCTGGTGATATTTTTCTGTCCCAGGAATTTTTCTTTTGTTTTTTTGTCTCAATTTGGATTCAGTAATTACTTTATAAGATTTTTGGCTGTTTTCTGGAGGGGACAAAGCTTCTTTTCCTCTGCAGTGTTACTAAGAATAAAAATTAGTCACAAGTATGTTGTGGACATAGAAATGCATAAGGGAAATTTTTCGTTTTAAATATAGCAAAATTTTTGGATTAAAATAAAACAGGAAAAACTGCACTTTGACCTTCACTGAATAAAAGAGTCTGGTATTGAATTTTCTATTGCTTTTGTCATTTATTTCTTTACACTTACTATACAGGTTTCTACTTTCAAGGATTTTATGCCAGACATGAAACAGTTTGTGTCCCATCTTCAGGAGAGTGACTCGTTACAAAATGCAATAGTAGTTGAGCAGGTAAGTGTTAGGAGACTTATTCTCAATTGAAAAAAGAAAGCAGCATAGGAAGTAGAGAAAGATTGGATCTTTTAAATGAATGCACATGTTAGAAGGTTATGTCACTTCTGTCTTAGTTACCCAACAGCTTCTGTAATAAGATCTTTATCATCTCTTTGGTGTTTGTAGTAGGCTTTTAATGTTCAATGAAAAAGTGTCCCAGGCAAAACTTCTAATGAAATGTCCTTCTAGACTTTTTTTGGATTTTCTCACTGATGTCTCTGACTTTCACTTGAACTAGTGTTTCTTTTTGAATATTTACTAATGAATTTGTTATCTGTTGCAACAGTTCTCAAGTGAAAAATTAACCACATAGTGAAAGAGGACTTCAGTGCTTGTTATTTCCAAAATGTAAAGAAGTAAGAGTGTGTGTGTGGGGGGGGGAATTCTAAGCTAAGTAACTAAGGAAATGGATAAGGCATCTTGAATATCAAACTACGCTGAATGGAAAAACTGCTTTTAAAATTGAGCTTATTTTAATGATTACCTGCCAAGGTTGATAAGAATGAACTCATCTAAAGAAGAGTTAAAATGCAATACAAAACAACAGTAACTCTTTGTATGTGTTGTGTTCTAAAGAGATTGCCCGCTGTCTAAATTAAAGTATGACTAAAACTGATTTTGTTTTTAAAATTCCCAAACAGCACTTTATAAGCAAGCATCTTTTTGTTGTTCAAATTCTTTTGCTTCAGAACTATATTAATTGCAAATAATACTTGTTCTCGAGACTTCCTGCTGTACAAGGAGCATGACAGAGAAAGGCATGGAAGTAGATGATATACCCAGTCAGTTTCTTAATACGTCTTATTGCTTGGCATCATGGTGTTCCATGCATACCAACCTATAAGCTTCCTGAGCCGCAGATGGCCAGAAACTCTCAGGTATTTTCTCATGGTGTACTTCCTCTTTCAATTTTTTTTCCCCCTTCCTTCACTTGCAAGTGGAAGACTTTGGAGTAGGACAACTTACAGGATCATTTACTTCTATGAATGCACATCTAAGGACAAAGGGGTAGAATATAAAGAAGGGGTGGTGCACAATTCCAGGATCCTACGAAGTGCGGAGAGCCTAATGAGTATGTGGATGAAAGTTAAAACCAACTGATAATGTGTATGCGGGTTTTGTTTGTTTTTCTTTTCCAGTGGACATCTGATTTAGCTGACTAGGCTAGGTGTCATATGAACAGCAGCATTCTGTTTCACAGGTTTTTTTTTATTATTATTATTTGTAGGAGTTAATTTGAGCGTCATTTAGGAAAAAAAAATACATGTCAGTGAGGGCATTTATGCCACAGGCATGCCACATTAGCTCTTCAGTGCACATTCTTAATCATGATCTCACATGGCTTTATCAAAAACTAGGTGCTTTTTACTGATGTATAATCAATGTGTATAGGAAGTGATTTTGTTTCAGTGCTGGGTGAGGTCATTGGTAAGGGATTTAAACTCTAAATGAAATTTTATTATTCGTTTTTAACACAAAAGCCTTGTTCATAAATATTGATTGCCTGTGTGACTGTCTGCTCATTGGTAATGTGGAGCAAAGACATGGAATGTGTTTTGCAGCAGAACTGGCAGGTGAGCATCTCTGTACTTGGGAATCATAAAGAACATGATAGATACAAGAATTGTCTTATCCGGTAGAAGGTGATCAAAAAAAGGAGGTATCATACATTGTAAAAACCCAATCTCTCCTTTATAACACATATGTTATAATCTAATCTCTCGAGCCTCTCCATCATTCTTTTGTAGTTGCTGGGTGTGAGAAACTTCTTAGTGTGTATATTCAGTTTTTGATTTTAGGACTTTATTTTGTTTCTTCCCTTAGAGGTTTGAACTGTTACACTCCTTTACTTTACGGAAAGGTTTCTATGTGTCTTTCAGTTTACTATAAACTTTCAGTTTCAGTACATCTTTAAAGTGCAAACCTTGTTTTGTTTTTGTCCTGTTTTTAGAGCTTATCTTTTAATGAGACAAGTTCCAGCCTGTTTACTTTTTTTCTGGAAATGTTACATAACAACATCCTGGAAATTGAGCACAGCTAAAAAAAAAAAAAAAAAAAAATTCTCTATGTAGAATGTTTTTTTTGCTATTTTTAAGCAGGGTACTTTGCCTCAGGAAGTTTTTGTTAGCTGTCTTTCAAGGACTTTACTTCATGTTAATTTGAAATCTGTTTGTCATTTCATTTAGTTTGTTTTATACATTTGATTCCAAATGCTTCATGCTTTTATGATGTGAATAAAATTTGCATTTCTCACCTGGATGATGTTAATTGTGTTTTAAAACTAAGGGTATAGTTCAAAAGAAAGATACTTGAATGTGGAGATCCATTGTGGTGACCAAGAGTAAGGTAACATCCAGGCAGTTATGCAGAAGCCTTATTAATCATTTCAGTGTAGTGCAAAATTAGCCCTTCTTTTTTGCTTAAAAAAATATTTAAAAAGTTTTAAAAATATTAAAAAATATTTAAAAAGTTAAATAACGTTGTTTAAGTGATGGTTCTCCAAAATCAATCATGCATCGTCAACCTTTACTTGACAGTTTGAGGGAAAAGTGCTGATTTTTGACCTGGGGACACAGAGGGAATCTATTTTTAATACAGTTTGATTCCCTATTTCAAAAGTCTGGAAAAAGTAAAATTACAACTATAAAAAAAAAATCTACTGATGACTCAAAATACTGGTAAGACCACTTGCAGAATACGATTTGTTGTCCATGGTTTTCATAACTTTGATCTTTTTAATTTCACTAAGCCTGTAATAATAGAATGGACATTGTAATATAATATCTCACTTCTTTGAAGGAATATAGTGAAAATAATTTGCTTGGATTTTGTGAGGTGGACTCATTCTGTCGTTACCAGCATAGAAAAATCCGTGAGATAATTGGTAGCTCTGTCTTGAGTAGCATGCCTAGATGTGCTGTATTAGTACATGTGAACTCAGTGGCTTTATTCAACCGACAAGATGAAAGAAACATTGAGGAATGTCACTCTGGCTCTGTATCAATTCTGTGCAGCTATGGGGAACAAATCAAGATTTACACTTTTGCAAGGTGATGATTGGCAACTTCAGGGAACTTCTTAGGGGTTTTTTTGAGTGTAAATACTAGTAATAAATAGCTAGTGCCAGCAGTTCAGCAATTGACAGTATGCTAGTGACTTTTCCTAATTAGAAGTAGGTTATTGTCATGCCTGAGCAGTTAAATGAGGAAATACATGTGATTCACAGTAAAGCATATGAAAAATAGCTAAGATATATAAAACCAGGTCACAGATTTTATTAGACTAAGCTATCAGGGGATTTCCCTAACAGTGAAGAGGAGTATTTATTTGTGAAAAAATAAAAAAAAGAAAACATTTCCCTTGGCCAGATAATGCTATGCTAGTGAAAATGAAGAATAAATACTTCAGGCAGCCCACTTAACTGTCATGTAGCTTTACTCCTACTTGTGGAACTGAAAGAACTTTTTCAGACAAATAAGCAGGATATGGTAGTGGTGAATATTTATATTTGAACTTAATGTGGATGTCTGCAGTTTCTGAGGAAAAGTTAAAACTAATCCACCTCAAAACCTGCCTGAATTAAATCCCTGATGTAGATGTACAGTATGAGCCTCACCGTATGGATTTCTTGGTGAGCATTTTCTTAAAGCTATTTGGATAATAAGCAACATTGCATTTAGAAATTGTATTTGGAAAGATCTGTCCTTTGTGCTGTGTGTTTCTTCTGCAATATTTTTTAAGCTATGTAAGATGGGACATTAGGAATTGCAGAGCCGCATATCACCAGAGCTTTGTAACTCCTCTGTGAAGCAGAAAAGGAATTACGCTTTAAGATTGGTTATAAAATTGTTTCATTTAATGATAGTTGTCTACTGGAGTTTGTTAATAGGAAAATGTAGAGTTTTATTTCATTGATGAACTTAAAACTTTTGGAAATGTAGATTCTTAGAGGAAAGCAAAAGCATATTTCAGTAAAAGTTAATTAGCGGGTTTCTAAGCATATTTCTTGTTGAAACATACATATCATACTTGAAAATAAGTAAATGGCTATTGGAATTCTCTTATTGCCTGTTTTGATTTGTGGTGGGGGTTTTGTTTGTTTTATTCTCTACTAGGTACTACTTGCAGTGCTGTGGAATTCCACAAGGCTCCATTTTGTCAACCTTACTTTGCAGCTTATGCTATGGAGACATGGAAAACAAATTGCTCTGTGGCATACAGCAGGATGGGTAGGGTGATTTGGATGTTTTATTTTTTCCTGTGCTCTGTTATATTTTGCATACTGTTTTTTCAGATTGCTGCTAGCTTTGCTTAGAAACAGCAACATAACAAACACCGTGGGGTACAAGCTATGAACACATTTTTCATGATGTGAAAGGTTCATCTTTTTCCAGGCTTCTCAAAATACTTTATTCAGAGCCCTCCCTTAATATTAGCTGCAACTGAGGATAATAAGTTTTTTGCCCCAAATCAGTAATCTTTTAAGTTTGCAACGAGGAGTAGAATGGAACAGTCAAAGCATGCTTTTTAATGGACTGTATACAGCATTTCTTTAGCATTTAAATAGTTGACTGCTCAATGCTGTATTTTAGGTTTCAGTTTTGCCGTACAGCAAGGCCTATAGAACACTTCCACATTCTTCATTTCCTGTGGAAATAAAAATGTTCTGTGTCTAACTGTTGTGCAAATTGTTCAGCTCTTAAACAAAACTTCAGTTTATTACATACAAGCAGAGCTAGATTTATGAAGTAGCACAGCTGGGGTGTTAATATTGCAGTCATTTTCACTTTTTAGATCACTGGTAAAACAATCATGTGGCATGAATGTCATGGCTGTCTTCATCATGCTTGCTTTATGGCAGAATGCAAATAATGTGGGAATCTTATATTAATTTCAAAGTCATAGGGGTTTTTTCTAAGTTTAATTTTGAACTTCAAGGATTTACAACTCTCCATTAGAAGTGTGGTACGTGCAGAGACCTCTGAAGCTTCAGCGTCGCTATAATCATTAGTTGCCATAAGATTGGGAAGAATAGTGCTAAGAGGGAGCTTTCCGAGATCTGTGGGTGGGAGGCTTCGATAATACATACTTCTAGGTTTTAATTATGCTGTTCTGTTCCCTCAGAAAGTTCACAAGTATGAAAGACTTTGCAGGCTCTTACCAAGAGCATGGTATTTAGTGATGCTATAACATGTCTGGCAGTCTCTTGAACACATAACATGTTTATGGTTCTTCTATGTTCGTTCCCATAACACTGTGGTGCTTTGTCCTCAGCCAAGACAGAGTGTTCGTTACAGGCTTCCTGAACCTCCAAGCTCCTGCCTGAGGGCCTTCCACTCCGCCATCTGCAAATCTTAACACTGTTACCAAGATCACAGATTGCTTGTGGATTTCTTTACAAGGCACACTGGTTCTTGTTAGAAGCCCTGCACGGTTCTTGGTACAGCTTCAAAGTCTTTGGGCCCTGCTTATATTTGTTTCTTAAGAGTTTCACAGAAAGCTAGCCTGGTGGAAGCTCTACCTTTTCATTAGACAGAAAATTTGGGGTCCCTCTTACCTCCTTCTTACTAATTCTTACTGGGGAATTAGTCCCCAGTTGAATCCAGATTAAGATAGATTAGGCATAAACTGGACATTGGTGAGCCTCCTGAAGCTTGTCCCTGTTCACGCATCTCCCTCTGTTACTGTCCATTCTCTTCCAAGAAAGATAAAAGAAACTAAGAAGTGTATAGAGGCACTCTAGGTAAGTGCGTCAGTCCAGTGTCTCATCTTTGGAGGCTCATTAGATAACGGGAAGCCTCAACATTTTAGATACCCCCCTTCTACACAAGCAGTATAGTTTTCATAGGTCTTAGGACACTATAAAACACATCCTTTAATGTTAGGCTATTTTTGGAAGGATCTTTCCCTCTTTTCTGGATCTCTTGTGGCTCTTATTAGTCCCTGTGAGTTACAGTATGAGTTAGTGCAAAAGTTATCCTACCAAGTGTTGCCAGGGTTGATGGATCATAGGTTGTCATCTTGCTACATAAATCAACTTCTGGAAAGAGTGCGCTCAGCATATCCTATGGAGCATGTGGATGTCTGGATGATTTGTTCCGTGCTGTGGGTTCTGTTAAAGATACTAGAGATTCCCACCTGGAATTCCCAATGAAACTTCTGTTTTACAGCTCATTTGCAGAGGCTGTGGTGATACAGGTCTAAATAGCCATCAGTTTCTTTCAAGGAATCTTTTTGTACATACTGAAGTTGCAAGACTATGATTCAGAGAATACATTTTTTTGTGTAGCAGCTGCTTTTATAAGAGTTCAGAGCAGATTTTAGGATGTTGCTTAGGTGTATATTACATGATTTTGGTATTTTCATTTGACCTCTTAAATCAACCATTTGACCTCTTAAGTGGCTATTGATTTGTCTAGAAAAAGGTACAGCTGGTTTGGTTGTAATGATGGCAATAGCCCTGTTCGGAAGAGGAGGTTGGACTGGGTGATCTATTAGGCAGGACTTTTCAGGCAAATATAGGCAAGCTTGGGGCTGCGTTCTGTGGAAAAGGAATTCCAGCCTTTACAGTGGAGGGCTTTAGTCTGACTGTTTCACGTTCACATTACAGCTTCACAAATAAGCTACTTCATGATAAACCAAGGTATAGAGTTAGAGCACATCAAGTATCTGCTGTCTGCCTGAGTACCTGGTGTTGTACCATCTTTGCTTGCCTTGTGAACAAAGATATGAAAATGCTCAAAAGTGTAAAAATCCTGCTTCCAACAAGCTACTGTGGAGTAGCTTGTGTGCTGTGAATTCCTGTATTGCTTCATGTACCCAGTCCCTTTGCTTCCCTCTATTCTTCTTCTTCTTATTTATTATATTAAGGAAGAAGCAAACCTAGGAATTTCTTTATGAAACCTAAGTTTGAGGTCATGTTGACCTCTACCTTCTTGCAAATTAAAGCAAGCAGTTATATTACTGGGCACATCATCACTCTCAGGGGAATAACAAACATTTGAAAGGATTACATACCAAGCGATTTAACTTCAGTTTCTTCTTCATTCCAGAGTCCTGATACGTCTAATTGATGACTTTTTGCTGGTTACACCACACTTAACACAGGCAAGAACTTTTCTGAGGTATGCTATTAAATGCACAATCCTTAAAATAATAAGCATTAACATTTTAGGATGTTTCGTTTGATCTCCTTCACACCTTTACATGTAGGTATGTTTGGATTAATAATCAAGGCCTGGCTTTGGAGCACTCACTGGTAACCTGTGACTGGGAAGAATCCTTATACTGAGATGCAGTGGACCATCTGTTATATTTCAGATGGTGGGGGATTGCTCCTGAGACTTACAGTAAGGATCTAGCAGCTGACCTTGGAGCTTCTGGCAGCAATTAGTAATGCAGACAAACCCAGAGCAGCTGACAGTTGTCTTCTGTGACAATTTTCCCTCAAATTTTTGAAATGTTTTAGTTACATTCTTAAAACGTTTTTGTCAGACAGACATGCTCCTATCTTCTGTTCTTGGTGAAAGAATGCAACTTTTCTCTGATCTAATAATGATCAGAAAATTCTTAGCAATAATATTCTGGGGTGAGTATTTGAAGATACTGATAGCATGGCAGCATGTAACTTGAAGAACTTTCAAAGAGTCATTCTTCAGAGTGCTTCAGGTTTGTTTGTTTGTTTGTTTGTTTTGTTTTTAAATTGGGCACCAAAAGAGTTACTGTGGAAATGAATGTATGTACAGTCAGTCTTCAAGAAGAAGAAGAAGGGTTGTGCTGATGTCAAAAGCAGTTTTAAGGATCTGATGAGAGAGGTCTTGAAAAAAATCTTAGCATCTGCAATGCAGTCAGTTACATCATGCTTTCCATAGTCAGAAAGATGCAGTTCTGTTGTGACCTGAAAGTTCATGGGAGTTGATTAAGTACAGTTTGAAGTGTAAATTATACTAAGTAGTGGAATAGTGTTCCTTGAGGATCTTATTTTCCTTCAGTTTCCTATCGGAACAGAAGGAAATCTCTAAGGATGTTTGGTTCTACAGTTCTGCTTGACTTAAATCATTGGGGCCATCAATAGACTGGGGATACCTCAAAATATTTATCTCTGCAACATCTTTTCAAGACAATGTCACTTGCAATAGCATTGCAGATATTCTCCTATTTGTCCTTTGAAGTTATCAGCATCTTCATGTTCTGTATCAACTTCTGCACCAACTGTGTTGGTATTCTGTGGACAAATAGCCTCTTTTGTGCAAGTTATCTGGATCTACTTAAAGGTCCTACAAACTGTCTGCCGTGAGTGGAACAGTAGCAGTTTTTCTAATGTAGCATCAGAATTGAGGGACTTGCAAGATTTATTTTCAGGAGGCAACGTTATGACTATTACTCCATTACAACAACAAAGGCTCCCTCTTCCCCTCCTCATTTAAAAGCCTGAAACCTGCATGTAAATAAATTGACAGTAAGACCATCTACTGCTTGTTCAAGCAATGACACTGCTGATTCAGCCTGTGGTAGGTAATTGACAGGCATACTAGCAATGAAGAGATACTTGGGAAAAACCTTGTGGAGAAAGTTCAGAGCTTTTTGCCAGATAACTGAGGTACCTGGAATCTCCCTGCTTTAGTGCACTTTCTGAAACAAAAACTTTCATCTGGTTTTGACCTCAATGGTTTCTGTGAGCATGGTTTATGCAACTGGAGTCTCAAATGTTTCATGGCTTAACTTCTCCTTTTGCCTTAACGTGTGAAAGTTTTTCTTCTCACTTACAATATCCTTAAGCTTTTTATTTATTTATTTTACCTCCAATATCTTCAGTTTTTGGTATTTCTAGCTGTGTACGTTTACTTAGAGCTGGTCATCATTCCCTTTATTCTTGGGTTTGTGTTCTTTTTTTTTTTTTGTGTGTGTGTGCAAGATCATGTGTGTCTTGGGTGGGAAGGGGAGGTTTGTTTTTGAGGGGTGGGGTTAGGCTAACTATTTATATCTGTTTTAGGACTCTAGCAACAGGTATTCCTGAATATGGCTTTTTAATAAACCCTAATAAGACAGTGGTGAATTTTCCAGTTGATGATATCCCAGGATGTTCCAAATTTCAACAGCTGCCAGATTGTTGTTTGATCCCGTGGTGTGGTTTATTATTAGATATACAGACACTTGAGGTTTACTGCGATTACTCCAGGTAAATAGTTGTATACACCAGCATAAGCTTTACAGTATACGATGCACTGTGTGAGAAGTACAAGGCTGTTCTGTGAGTGGTGTAGTTGAATTCACTGCAAAACAAATTTTACAATTCTGCCTCTTGTGCAGTAATTTAAACATCATCTGCTATGCAATCTACATTAGCTTCATTCCATCCCAGTGGAACACACGTGCCGTAGCCTCATCAAATGTGACATGAGTCACTAGTGACTGGAAGTCACATACCATATGGTGACTACCTGTTTTCTGAGGAACTCTTATGATCACCTCGGTCCAATGTCTTTCACTGCTATGCACTGTATCACTGTATCTGGTACCATAATCTCAGAATGATTAATGTAGTTATATACTTTTCATACCTTAACAGAGGCAACAATGATTAAATGAACTTCAGATTGGAATTAATTTTGTGTAGACTAAGGGAGCTGGTAATCCTGTCAACCTCAGAGGTGATCCTTTTGGTACGTTTCAGATCTGAAATGTATGGGGGAAGTAATCGATGTTGCCAATTTAAAGAGATGTTAAGTACCCAAAGCGGTCTAACTGGAGCAGCATGGATCTCGGGACAGGACAACATATCTTGCTGAGAAGTTCCATAGACCACTTGCAAGGAATCCTAGAGATGGCATTAGACATTTCTTAAAAATAACAAAGAAGTTTTTAAAGTGAATATTGCTATGATATTGGCCATGCTTAGAATAAACAGCCCATGAATACGCTCAAGTAGGAAGTTAAAAGGAGGTTTTCTCTCACTGGAGTGGTGAAGTTCTTCGGGAGTTTTCTAAAAGATAAAAGCTTAGTCAATTTATGAAAGAGATTTCTATAACATGATTTTCTGTACTAAAACCAACAGCTAAAGAGATCTTTTCACTTGCTGTGTTTATTTAAAAAAAAAAAAAAATTACACGTATGAGGGGATTGCTGCTGCTGGCCTAGGAGACACTTACCGAGCCCTGAGGGTATTTGTTATGAGAGCCCCCTTGCTTTGGAAAAGCTAGACTTAAGAAATTGCGACGCAAAGCTTGTTGGGCCAAGGTGAACTGAGGTGACTTCTAGTCTAAGCCGCTGTGTTGCGTGGGTCATGGAGCGTAAGCTGGTCATTGCTGGAGTCAGTAATAATGGTCTGGCTAGACCACATGTTTTAGAAATGCATACAGTTTTTTAGAAGTTTTTTAACAGGTTGAATTATTCAGCCTTGAGGTACTGAAGTCATTCCTGTAGCTAACAGCTTCAATGCTACAGTGTTCAGTTGGCTTCTAATTTGTGTTTGGTTATAGTCGTCTTCTCCTATTGGCTCATAGATTTAGCAAGCAGTCACAAGTTAAATCAGGATTAATTTATAGAACTTAGTCTATTAGCCCATGGAGTTTGTTTAACTACTTTTCTTTTCTTTCTAGTTATACTGGTACTTCTATCAGATCGAGTCTTTCCTTCAATTCAAGCAGAACAGCTGGGAAAAACATGAAATGCAAACTGATTACAGTCCTCAAACTGAAATGCCATTGTTTATTTCTTGATTTACAGGTGGGAATATAGAAAAGGATGTTTGGGAATATCACGATTAATGATAAAGGCATTGAAACTGCTTTGAGTTCTAACAAAAGGGTTAACTTTAAAAGATCAAACACATATTTTGGAAGTACTTGCATCAACTGAAATATAGGGTATCAGCACCTTCCACAAATGAGCTTTCAAAGTCTTGTTACGTAATACATGTACATAATAGAAATTGTATTTTATGGTACATTTCAAAGATATCTGTCTTGATCGTCTTATGCTATTGGACTTGAACAAAGCACACGATGCTGGTGACCGTAAAACATTTCTATAGCTTTATTTCTGTTCTGTTCTAGATCAACAGCCTTAGAACAGTTTTCATTAACATCTATAAGATATTTTTACTTCAGGCTTACAGGTAGGTCACTGTCTTTTGCAGTAACTGTGAGTGTTTCAGTACTGTATCTTGACACGTGGAGGAGCTATGGATTTGCAAACAGTATGCCATAAAATTGTGCAGTGGTAAATTTTAGTAAGTTGCATTATTCTTGTTTCAAGACTATTTTTACATAATGTTATATAATTCAGGATATAGCATTATGCTGCTCTTTGTATTTAAGTGACACTTCACTTAATGGTTTTCTAATGTCTTTGGGTATTTACAGCAGACCTCAAGAAAAGCTATGTGTTTTGCTCCAGAAAGAAGACTAGAAAGCTAATTGCTCATTAACCAATGTGTATTTAGAACTTTGTATCTATCAAAATTATGTGGAACTTTGACCTGTATTACTTTGCTTTAAGTGAGGTATCGTTCTTCCAAGTTGCAGTTTCTTAACTGCTGATAATTTCTTACTTGCTTCATAACTGGTAAAGTCTAGTTGTTTGGGTTTTTTTTGAATTTTTTCTTGAAATGAACCTTTTGAACAAGGATCAATGGAAAGGAATCAAAACTGATAAGCAATTTCAGAAAATATTTTAATCTCAGGGAATCAAAAATTTTGTATGATTAGCAATACCAAGTAGTATAGAAAAATCCCATGAATAAAGAGTAGTATAAAGACCAAGAAGCACCTTGCCTCACAGGTCTAAAACTATTCTTTTCAAACTTTCTGGTGGATGCTTGGTGTTGTTACCTGATCATTATCGTGCTCTAATAAGTCCTTTTTAGTTCCACCCAATCTGAGTGATGACAACAGGAGATAATTGGCATGTGGTCATACTGTATTCCTCACATTTCCTGTTCAAGCTCATGAATCTTGTTATCAGTTATTTCCAAATGCCAGAAGATAAAAACAGTCGTTTTCTTATTTCCTCTGATTTGTGGCTCAAATCAGAATCCATTAAGAGGGGAATTTTTTGTTTGTTTCTTTAACAACGAAGAGTTTAAGAGGTGTTTCCCTCTCTACAAAAATCAGGTCATGTAATTCTGTTGCTGGAGACCTTGTACAGTTTTACCTTGCAATTTATTTGCTATGTAGAACCTTTGTATTGGTATTCAAGCTTGCTTTCAAGATTTATAGAGGCCTTGGAGTCTCGTATATTCTTTCTAATACGTGATTCCATAAAAACTGGAGTTGCAGAAAATTCATAAAGGCAATCAGCTTGTTCAGATATCTTTGTAGCGTTTGGAATTTTGTTATTGTTGGTTTTCTCCCTCTCTCCTGTCTGTAACACAGTGAGTAATTGTAGAAAACTATCTTTTTATATTGTTTAGCGGTTATGTTTCAATCATAGTTGCTATATTGGTCTGTCTTGGCTTCTCTTGTCAAGGCTAGTAGGCAACTTAAGATGACACATACTTGTGTTCTATGATGCACTTGTTAGGAAGTGGGATTTTAAGTTCTATTCTTAAATTCAGCTTGGTCTGCATTCACCCCATTTGTGTTATTCTCATGTCTAATGCCTGATGCCTTCAAAACTCTTTTAAACCTTGTGCTGTGGATGACTTCTAATTCTCCCTCCCTTCCTGCTGCGATATGCGTGATTATTTAAAATTATTTCTGTTTGCTTTTATAGTAACACTTTTCTTACCCTTACAAAGGTCTTTATGTCAGAATTCACATACAAATCTGTTCACTGTGCTAACAGCAGGCAAACCACTAATTCAGTGTTCTATGATCTAGTGCAGTAATTATGTTTATACACTACATATTTTGAAGTAACCGCTTCAAATTCTGTTTTTGCTGTATTAACAAACTACATAGGTATATACCTTGAGTAATTACAATACAAATCAGTTATTGTAATTATTGAATATGTTCAGCATAAGCATGGTTGTAATGCCAGAGTCTGAAGCAAGCAAAATAGCCAACAGTTTTAAAATATCTTAATAAAGAGGTGTAAGGGAGTGTACAATATAACTCATTTGCATAGAATTGGCTTCCAGTTAGACGAAAGAGTGGGGATCCTGGCCTGTGGAGCACTAGATCATTTGGAGATCTGCCCACCT